TGTTCCTAGTAGCGATGCCCTTTGCTCCTAGTAGCTTCTTGTTACTACTAGTAAGGCACTTGTTCCTAGTAGCGATGCGCTGTGTTCCTAGTAGCGTCCTTTGGGCTTAGCTCACCTAAGGCGAAGATTGCTTCCGCTGATTTCCCACGAGTTCGTGGCACAAAGTCCGACACGTTTGTGACAGCAACATCGTTGGAAGCCGCAAGGGCTTCGGTTGGAGGCGATGAATGGGACGAATAGTTGAATTCAATAGTTTATCTCTCTCTATATTTTTATGTATTTACTTATTTATAAACATGAAAATTTGAAAACATAGCGACCTGCCCCTGAGTCACAGACTATCACACACTGACTTGCACTGACGTCGCTACAAGTCTTCTAGGGTGACCATCGCTAGTTGGAAGTGACGAGGTTTGCTTGAGTTGGTGGACGAGTGCCTCCTTCGAACCAAAGTTCCTGGCTTTGCACTGTGCCGGCCTCCTGGCCACCATGCGGGGATCAGCAGCAGCACGGGATTTTGCCTTGTCAACAACGTGGCCATTGCGGCTCGCTATGCCCAACGAACGCAACATGTTGCAAGACATGTGGCAACTTTTCAGTGATTTTGGTTTAGCAGAGTTAAATATTACTGTTTTGCCTTTCGCGGAAGCAAAGAACCGCCGCCAACTCCATCTTCCTTATCACCACCTTTCTTCCTAATCATCATCATCTTTCTTTCCAAACGCTCTCGGGAGAGAGACCAGCGTGGACGGCTCCTAGTGGGAGCCAAAAGGAAGATCCTCATGGCCTAGCTCATGCTCCGTGGAGTCTGCACAGATCGACAAAACAATCGAATGAGAGAATGAGAGCGCAAACATAGAATGTATCAAGTCAGAGAATGAGAGAATGAGGCCCTAGTAGCGGCCTGCTGCTCAGGTATCCGGACTTGATCAATCGAGTGATGATTTTTGACTGGGATGTCCACCACGGGCAGGGCACTCAAGAGATCTTCTGGAAGGATCCGAATGTGCTGGTGGTCAGTGCGTATCTCGGCACATGCTTTGGTGTCGATGCTTCTGTGTTTGCCACAAGTGGAACCAATAGCTTCAGGATCGAGAACGGACACTTTATGGAACCAATAGCCCTTGTTGCTAACAATGTTTTTGTTGCCATGAATCCAAGTGTAGCAACAGGTGCATCGCTAGTAGTAACAAGAAGCTATTAGAATTAAATTTGCACGTCCGCAAAGGATGACACGCACAAAACGTAAGGTGTACCAAAATGGACACTTGAAACGAACCCAACTGAGACGGTTGGAAGCCGCTTTTGCACAAGCCTGAAAAAGGTCTTCAGGCTGAAACCTTCAGGTTATGAGCCCAAGGTTGAAGGTGTAAGACCCAGCTTGAGGAGGTCGATCGCTGGGCCGCCCTGCGCAAGCGGAAGCCATGGCCATGATGGTTCGCCGACGAAGACGGCAACCTGGCGATGATGGAGAAGGAGAAGAAGCCGATCCGGAAGGCCTCCCACTACATGATCGGCAGCTGGAAGAAGAGCAGCTTGCTCTGGAGGATGGTGAAGATGGTGGGGAAGAGGAGACATTGGAAGGCCCGAAAGGACCGCCTACAACCTTGACACCGATGACCCCACTCTTCACACCGGAACAGCTGAAGGGACTTCATGAAGTGCAGAGCCAAGCTCCTCATATGCTCAAGTCCCGAGGCAGAGCATCTGGCAGCCTGGTCTGGGGAACAGGTCGCCAGAGGAGGTGAAGAAAGAGAGACCCACGTTCCTGCCGAAAGAAGAAGGTCCGGTGGGAGTGCTTCCACAGACGAGCACGACGACGGGGACACCATCACCGGCACTGGTGGGCGATCATGTACCAGATGACCAACGACGTGGACGACCAAGAGAACCACGGGTACCTGAAGTACAAGAGCCTGAAAGTGACAGCGATGGGCAACAACCTCCCCAACCTAGAGAACAATCGGTGGCTCAGATCCAAGGGAACGGACCGGGAGGAAGAGGTCTACATGTTCCAAGAGGCTTTGGACAAACTGGCCCACCTGGGTACATCATGCCCCATGAAGAGAGGAGGGGACCGGGGACCTATGCCGCATCAAGGAGGATGGCAAGTTCAGCTGCATCCCTATGGCCCTGGTCCGCCGAATCCACAGGAGATGATGACCATGTTGGCGATGTTGAAGCAGGAGAATCAACAACTGCAGATTCAGCAGGCAGAGCTCATGGACGCCATGAAGTACCAGAGGGCAAGCCTGGAAGCCAAGGTCCATGATCTACAACGTGAGCTGGAGCAGCAGGCCTTCAGAACGCCAGAAAGCGATGAGCCTGTGAAGCGTCAGCTGGAATTGACGGTCGACGAACCTCTGAGGGAGACAGATTTGGAGGTGGAAAGACGCCGGCTGTATGAGTTGACTCCCATGCAACAGTTCGAGCAGCTCCAATCCTTGATGGGGACGGTCACTCCGGCGCCAGCAAAGCGAGGTGGTCGGGGGCAAGGACAACGAGAGAGGTCGAGATCTCAAGGTCCGAGAACTGCACGTCAGGGAGGAGGTCAACCTGAGGGCTTGGTGGCATCTCGGGCGAAGGGCTTCGAACCGGAGGGGAGACAAGGGACCGGGAAAGGTGTGGGTCAGCCAAAGAAGAAAGCCACAACTGCAAATGTTCGGGAAGAACAATCAAGAGAGCGCAGTGGTGGCATGGCTGATGCGATGTCTATGCTGATCACCTACCTGGTCGACAAGGACAAGAAGCAAGAAGGACCGGAGTCGGTCAAGCCGGGAACGGCCACACTTCCGGTCCTGGCAGAGCCATCCGATACGGCTCCCATCGACCTCGCTGACTGGCTCACTATGGTGGAACCGGCAATGGCAGATCTTAGCGACTCGTCAGGCGAGTGGTGGGAGTTGGTGGTGAGCGAAGCAAGGGCCTGGTACAAGCAGTACATCAAGCTTCGCCCAATTCAGAGGGCATCATCCAAGATCGAGCCGTCTGCTGAGTTGCAAAAGCCAAAGTGGGCTCGAGTGGAGAAGAGGGCCATCAGCATGCTGCTTTCTTCAGTTCCCACGACAGTGAAGGAGGAACTAGTAGCGACGAGGACTTTGTCACCGCTGGGGCTGGTGAGCAAACTCATGGTCCTCTATCAACCAGGGGGTGCTCATGAACGCACCATCATCCTGCGGCAACTTGAAGATCCGCCAGACGCAGGGTCGCCAAGCGAAGCCTGCATGGGACTCCGACGCTGGATGCGCTGGCTCAGGAGGGCCACCGACATTGGCCTGAACCTCCCTGATGCGATCATCCTCATGAAGGGCATCAACAAACTTAGCAAGCGGATCCTCACTCAACAACCGGATCTGCAATTCAGATGTGCCTTGGTCAAGAACACCTTGCAGCTTGATACCATCCCCAATGAGGAGACTGTTCGGACGTACGCTGAGCATTTACTCGCAGAACTTGAACAGCTCATGCATCGAGTCCGACCGTCTTCGAGTACCACGAGGCCTGGAAATCAGGGAGGTGGACCATTGGCAGTAAAGGCACTCCAAGGGGAAGATAGAGAGAAGAAGGGAGACTCGCCAACGACATCAGCGAAGGGTCCTTGTCGATATTTCCTCACAGAGTCTGGATGTCGAAGGGGGCAGTCGTGCAAATGGGCACATCAACTGGAGACTGGCGACAAGCAGAACCAGGAGAGGAGGTGCTTCACGTGCGGGGCCACACAACATCTGGCTCGAGACTGTCCGAGGAAAGAGACGGCAAAGAAGGGAGAGGGACCTCCATCCGGCCAGAAACCAACGCTCCAGAAGCTTTTGGACAAAACTGGTGGCGGTGGAAATGGGACCTCGCAAAGTGAGTCGGGGGTCAATTTCTCCTCAAGCCGCATCCTCGCAGTCGGTGACCTCGGAGGCGGTGTCGGATACAGCGACAAGAACTGCAGACCCAATCAAGAACGTGCTTGATGAAGCGCACAAGTTGCTCAAGGGCATGAACCTCGAAGAAGAAGGGCAAGACCGTGCAACGGACCTTGGTGCGACGTTGAAGAAGCTGAATCGAGCATGGGAAAAAGGTGGCCCAGGGCTACGGGCAGTCAAGATAGCTCGAGTCCAACAAGGTCGAGAAGGACTTCTGGATTGTGGGGCAACGCACGCTCTGAGGCCCAAGCTCCGAGGAGAAGATCTTCAGAGATATCGCCAAGTGAGGGTGACGTTGGCTGCTGGAGGAGCACAAGACATCCGAATGACAGAAGGGGAGACGTTGGTCCACAACAGTGAGAATGTGGAGCCGATTGTCCCGGCGGGAAGGCTTGTTCGCGACTTGGGATGTCGAATCGAATGGATGGGGGAAGCGAAGCTGCAGGGGATTGAGGAAGGCCAACCGAGTTCATGAACAGCCGGTGTGTGGGGCTTGTCAGAGGGCCACTAGAGGTCAGAGAAGTCTTCAGGAGACGAGCTTCATCTATGAGGACCAACTCGGCAACTTCCACACCGACGCTCGGTGCAATGCGGTCACGGGACCGATGACTGAGATCCGACAGTGCAAAGTCTGCGGATCCTGAGGCGGCTTGAGCCTAGAGCTCGCTTTTGAAGGTTGGTCTCATGCTAGAAGCAGAGACCAAGGAGGAGTGCGCGTCCGCAAAGGATGACACGCACAAAACGTAAGGTGTACCAAAATGGACACTTGAAACGAACCCAACTGAGACGGTTGGAAGCCGCTTTTGCACAAGCCTGAAAAAGGTCTTCAGGCTGAAACCTTCAAAATTAAAACTAAACTAAAGTCACGAAAGGTAGCCTGGTAAGGACTACCTCGAGTTTGCTTTGCGAAGCAAAGGGACTGGCTTGAGAGCTTGCTCGGGACTAAAGATTGGTAGATCAATGTCTAACCCCCCCACCCCCCCCCCCCCTATGTGATGAATTTTTTAAAAAAAATTTTTTCCCCCCCCCCCCCCCCCCCCCCCTCCCCCCTCCCCTCCACTCCCCTCCCCGTCCCCTCCCCTCGTCGCCAGCACTACTAAATTCTGGACATAAGGTGAAGTCATGCGCTTAACAGTCACAGCAGTACGACGCTGGCCATGAGGTTGCGCAATACAGCACGAACCCTGCGCAATGAGGTCGCGCAATGCAGCTTCGATGCCGCGCGTGCGCGCCCGGCAGCCTGACACAGCGCGTACTGCGTTCACAGACCATATTGCTCGACACCAACGAGCATCGATGCAACACAGCCTCTCTGCAAAGCCTTGTGGAGAAACCCCTCGCGTCGCGGAACACCATTCGACTCAGCCTTATACCCTAGCGTGGCGAAATCTTACCGCATCGTGGAGCACACCCACCATAGCGTGACGTCCATCCCTGGCAGTACCGGCCGCACCCCTCCAGCACTATCCTTACAAGGGGGTTGGTCACTGAGTCACTGCGGCTTCGACGCAACGCGTGCAGGCCTGTAATCCTGACACAGTGCGTGCAGCTGTGGGACCATAGCTGGTACACATGCGAGCGCTTACGCATTGCGACTTTTACGCACGCCTGTTTTCACACACCTAGACACAAACGAGCGTCGACGCAACGCAGCCTCTCTGCAGAGCCGTGTGGCGCAATCTGACCGCAACGGAGTTCCTCTTAAGCCTTCTTATGCCTTCTTGTGCTCTCTGGCTTTGTTGGTTTCATCCATGATTGACCAAGGGGCACGTTCCTGAAACACCGGAGACAGTCCCTCACCAGAAAAGGTCCCGACAGCTACTCGGTCCGTCTCTACCTTTCGTGTTTCCCCGCTCAAGTAAGTAATAGCTTCTTGTTACTACTGGTAAGGCACTTGTTACTAGAAGCGATGCACTTGTTACTAGTAGCTTCTTGTAGAAACAAGAAGAATTTATTTGGAATTGTAATTACTAGGAGAGCATTGCAAAGCGGTTGAAGATGTCGATACAAGTTGAAGCAGAAAGTGCAGATGTTCGTCCAGCCTGATGGATTCGAGTTGCACGCGCACTCCAAATGGACACGAGCCGGGCCAAGGTAGACAAGTGCCCTTTGTAGTATGGTAGCACCATAGCCAGCAATCCAAATGGGAAACCAGTCGTCCAAAACTCAAAACTGCCCAAACGGCAAAGTAAGTAGACTCTTCACACGGTTAAAAGCTCGATAAGACATGTATTGGATGGGTGTGCCTTGGCATTGCAGGTGCGAGACATTGCGTTTAGTATGCGTAGCTTTAAAACTTTAGCGTGGATAGGTGAGCGGTCGTCGGCCTCCAACCTAGCAATGGAAACCCAGTGAATCCATAGCGGTTCGTGGTCGCCGACTTCCAGCCTCCAAAAGGTTTCCATTGAAAGACAAATTCAAAGCTCCAAGTTAACAGCCTCGAGAATCACAATGGTTTTCGCTACTAGCTTCTTGCTACTAGTAGCGATGCCAGGAGCCCCTAGTAGCGACCTTGCTCCTAGTAGTAAGGGCAGGAGCCCCTAGTAGCTTCTTGGTACTAGTAGCTGAGCTCAGTTGGGACGCAGCTATCAACAACCACAATATTCGAGCAGGTACGTCGCGGTGATCAGCCGTGATTCGTTGAACCATTGCGCGCAGTAGATGGGTGGTGCAGCTGGTGATCGAAGAGGGTCAACCTACACACTTCACACACGTACACATTCACACACGTCATTACTACAGCGACAACTGGAATGTCTCAGACAGGATACGGACCTCTTTCGCACTGATTGCTTGTGATCAAGGCAATACACTTATGTAGAGAAGTGTGAAGCAAAGCTCAAACGTGTGAGAGATTGCAACTGCCTCCCTCAAGGCATTTGTTTGCAAAGGGGTTCTACCCGAATTCTGGCACCGCGGAAGAAGTAGGCGAGGACGAAGGCCGTGGCTACAACATCAATATTGCGTTGCCCGTCGGCTACACGGACGAGTGCCTCATGCGAGTCTTTGATGATGTGCTCCTTCCGGCTGCAAGACGCTTTCGGCCTGACCTTATCCTGGTCAGTGCAGGTCCGAGACACGTGAACACGGTTAATTCCATGTTTTGGTGGTTCAGTGCGTCTCGCCATGAGGTTGGACCCAAAGTTTCGGTTCGACAGGTTCTGTTCCAAAACCTTTGACGATTCTGAACCGTCGAGTCGAGGTTTTGTTGTTTGCGTTTTGTCCAGGTTTTGACGCCATGGTTGATGACCCCCTAGGGGAAGCCCAGTGTACTGCAGCTGGTTTTGGTCAGCTCACCCGACGCCTGTGGAACCTTGCGGCAGAGCTTGCGAAAGGCTGGGCCAGCATGGGTGTCTCTTGGGTGTCTCTACATGGTTTGTTTCTAATTTCGCGCTCTTCTGATGTGTCCCAATGAGAACGTTGTACACACTGAACCAATGTTTAAAACGCCGCATGCATCTCGGCTTTTCTCAAGGCCGCTTGATCTTTGCTTTGGAGGGCGGTTACCACGTTGGCTGCTTGGCACAGGGCACAGCGGCAGTGCTGAAGTCGTTGCTGGAGAGGACAGATGAAAAGGAGGGTCCAAAGTTGGCCAAGGCTCCTGAAGACTCGATTCAGGCGATTGGTCCGCAGGGTCCCTTGCCAGAATCGATTCAGGCGATTTGGGCGACGCGTCGGGCGCATCAAGACTTGTCGATGCAACTGGGCAATGGGGCAGTGATGCCCTTCCGCAAGAGAAGTCGCGAGCAGAGCGAGCAGAGCGAGCAGAGCGAGCAGACGCCCAAGCTACTTGAAGCGGACGGAGTCTGAGTCAAAAAATGCTTCGGCTCTTCACTTGTTCCTAGTAGCTTTTTTGTTACTACTAGTAAGGCACCTGTTACTACTAGTGTGGCACTTGTTCCTAGTAGCTTCTTGCTCCTAGTAGTAATGCCCTTGTTACTACTAGCTTTTTTCTTCAATGTTCCCTTTCGAAAGAGTCCCTGGTCCCTCATGGCTGGAGAACAATTGGATTCTAGCCTGGTAGTGGCGGCGCCATATCGACAAACAACTAAGTATAGCTTCTTGTTACTATTATATAGCTTTTTGTTACTACTAGTAAGGCACTTGTTACTAGTAGCGAGGCACTTGTTCCTAGTAGCGATTTTTTTTTGCTCACCTTTTCCTGGATACTTGGAGGCCAAAAGTTTATAACCATTGCTATTTCTGATTTCTCAGCTCGAGTGGAGCTTTCATTCCCGACCTCTCTATCATTCGCAGGAGCCTTTGATGAATCGCAGATCGATCACACTGTTGCATGATGCATGTTCAGATGAAGCTCGCTCGTTTTTCCATTCATTCGCGCCACATCACAGCGTTTTCAAGACATGACCAGGTTGACTCAATACAATAGGCAGCCAACCAATGGAACTAAAAGTGGCCCGAACTGTAGCCAACGCCTCAAGCGCTACTTTCCCTCAAGCCGCCAATCCCAAGAGGAACTTCCCAGCACTTGGCGCAAGAAAATCCAATCTGTAGAACTTGCGAGTCAGTTCTGTGGGGTGCATTCCACGATATTCTAAGTCTTGCTAGTAAGTGCCCTTTTCCATGTTCCTTTCTTTTGTTGGGAGGGCAGGCTTTTTTGAATGGCAGTGCGGCAGTGCAGCATTTCTTGGAACCTGTTTGTGTGCCACCCATTTTGCTCATTTCCGCAGACTTTGGCCCATTCTCTTGAACGACGCGCCTTCAACACTAGCAAGTGGCATTGCGCCCAGGGTGTATGAATATGGCGATGTGGTAGTCCATTGTACTAAAGTTTCGCAAAGTATTTTTTATCGCAAACATAGCTGGGGAGGTGCCTTGAATCGCCACGCGCGGGGCTTCCTCACAAGTCTCAAGGTCAGAAGCCATTAGGTGGGGTAGGGCGTCGGGCTGAAGGATGAAGGAAACGCATGTGAGAGAGAGAGGGAAAGTATGCAGTTGTTCTGTTGCCGCTATCATGAAGGCAATGTTGATGGCGCGTGAACCCAATGCAGTTCCAGGCGGGGAAGTTACGTGACCTAACCATGACAATCGTGAACGTATACCTTGGCCAAGCTTGTAGGATGGTAGCCCCTCGGTGTCGCCCGGGCCCACTCCTCAGATAGCAATGGATGCAACATTTGCGGATCGCCATTCTTTTTGAGAATCCAATGGTTGCAAGGCACCAAAGGAACGTGGCCTGGTATGGCCTGGCAATGGAACTGTGTGGAACAACATGTTCAAATGTCAATACTTCGAAGGTATTTCTGGGGTGGAGGCCATCGTTATTTTTAGGGTGGAGGGCCATCGCTAGTAGGAGGCCGTTGCTTTAATTCAAAGGTTCCTAGTAGTAAGGCCAGGAAGCAGCGTCCTCTTCAGGTGGAACACTTTTGGGCCAGTGGCACCGGTGTTGCCGGCACCAACGCGCTCCCCGAGTGCGCTTCGTCCAACGAGCTCATCCGTCGATGCCTCGTTTTTCTCCGGATGGGTGGCTTGGCTTGGATAGTCTCCAAAGACCCCTCGTTCTTCTGAAGAACTACTTTACTCACATAACCCAATAGCGATGGCCTCCAGCCTAGTAGCGCTGGCCTTCAAACCGCATAGCTTCCAACTCAATAGTTGGAAAAAGGGTAGGAACATTAGGTCAAGACCTTTTAGATCAAGAACAATTTTGCCCGAGGTTTCCGCAGGGTCATTTCTCAGAGCCTTGCAGCATTTTTTTCGGAATTTCGTGGAAGTTTTAGACCCTTCTCACGCTCTTTCATCTCTTGACGTGCCCTCTTTCATCTCTGGTATTCTAATTTTGTTCCTCTCTTCTCATGTGATTTTCCTCCTGATGTCATCTCAGTCTTCCTCATGCTGTTTCATTCTCAAAGCGCTCTCGCTGTGAGCAGGTGTTCTGGTGCCTTGCTGCCCTTGCGGCCCTAGCTTCCTACTTGCTGATCTATGGGTGTCTCCGCTGGAGGCTGCAGGCGGGAGGGCGAAGCGCGAAGCTCCGAGGTGGTGAAGCCATATATATGTGTGGTTGCGATCGGAGCGATCGGGCATCGCTACGAACGGAGCAAAGTGCCACGCTACTAGTAACAGGTGCCTTACTAGTAGAAACAAGAAGCGGCGAGTAACAAGTGCCTTACTAGCAGTAACAAGAAGCTACTAGGAACAAG